TTTATAACCTACACTTAAAACAACCATATAAAAAAAACCCCAAATCTGTAAAAGCCAACATTTTAAAAATCTCCATACATTTCTACTGTACCATCTAGATCAAAAATTCTGATCGTTAGAAAACTACCCCAAAATTCTAATCGGGAAGATTGCGAAATTTATATCGAAAATTTTGTTACGAAAATTTGACCAAACAAAAGAATCTACATCAAAAGTATCTGTACAAGTACTACAAGTACAGTATAAAGCAACATTATGCTGTGCAAATTTTAAAAAAGCATTAACATAATTTTTTGGAATAGATTAGAGTTTACTTACAAACTATATTTGAATCTTGACTGCCGGAAAGCAGAAGAATACTTTTAACACTTCAAACATTCTAAAGTACAAAAACTTTTCCACATCCCGTATTTGAAAATTTTCACAAAAAGCGAGCAACAAAATAGCACGACAGATATTCCTATTAAATCAGAGAAAAAATCTATTTATCTTTGCTTAAAACTATTCATACTAAATTTCTTAAAATCTTCAAAAAAATAAAATTTTGAAATCTAGAAGGTTTTTAAAATTTTCTCTAAATAATTTACAATTTCTATAAAAAAAAAATTAAAAAAGTTTAAATGCTTTTTGTAAGTGTTGGAATAATTTAAATAAGAAAAATAGACAGTACTATATTGAAAAATTTCAAACATAAGAACACCATACATCATGCCCGGAACTAACCCTGGTACTAATTCCCAGTCATCTGGGGAAAACTACTGTTAAAATAAAGTAACAACCAGATTACTATTATATAACCACAGCATTAAACCCAGATGACTTGTTTCTTATATAAACTACGGGAAATTTAGCACCATTCTAAATTTTTCAAAAACAGCATTAAAAATTTACAACCGTTTTTCAATCTTAGTAAGATCTTAATTATCCCCAAAAATTTTAAAAAATTCCCTTTAAAACAAAATGAATTTTAGCAGCGCTGAAGAAATATTTTTTGATTACTTTTTTTTTCTTAAAACTTTGGGGGGTTTTTTGAAAATCGTTCATTCCAAATATTTGCCATTAGTTTTCCATAAAATATTGTGGACAAAAAACATTGGGGTACAGCCGTCAAACGCTCAAAACAAGCCCAAATGCACAGAGTAAACACTGGAATTAAGACTTGAGAAACAAAAGACAAAGTCCATTGGGTCAAATTTTATTCAAAAAACATATGTACGTGACACATGAAAAGGGCCCCAAAGTATCAGCCAGTACCTGACAAGCGTTTTAAAGAAAACCCCGAAAAGGTCAAAACTTGCAAAAAAAATGAACAAAGTTTTTTCCAGAACTGTCCCTTATTGTGACATAAAATCTCGTCTGTATCCACCAAAACCTTCATTATCACCAAACCACCTTCCTATTTGTTTAAAACAAGGGAAATTTAACAATTTTGGGAAAAAAGTCATTTATTGGAGACTCACTGTCCCTTTCGGGAGGAATAATTCGTTCGAGCAGGGGATATTCAAAGCTTCATTTTAAAACCCCCCCATTTCCCCAACTGTACCTAAATCTTACTCTGCAAAAAATTCATATACTGTTCGGGTTAATAATGTGTCTCTCCCCGGACTTTGTCCAAGCTGAAGGTGTCCCCCAGGGATGTGTTCTGAGCACAACACTTTTTCTCCTTGCTATTAATGATTTGGCCTCTAGTCTTCCATCAAATATTTGGTCATCACTCTATGTTGATGACTTTGCTATTGCCTGTGCAGGCGCTGACTGTCACCTCCTTACAGTTTCTCTCCAGCATGCAGTCGACCGTGTTTCCAATTGGGCCACCACACATGGGTTTAAATTTTCCAGCACTAAAACCCACCAAATCACTTTCACTAGACGCTCTGTCATCTCTGATCATCCTTTGTACCTCTATGGCTCACGTATCCCTGAACGTGATACAGTCAAGTTTCTGGGCCTCCTCTTTGATCGTAGGTTATCCTGGAAACCTCACATTACCTCTCTGAAGGCAACTTGTCACAGCCGGCTGAACCTTCTTAAAACCCTTGCTCATCTTTCGTGGGGAGCTGATCGTCGAACCCTCCTTCACCTACATTCCACCCTTATTTTATCGAAACTTGATTATGGTGACCAGATCTATTCAGCGGCATCTCCTGCTACTCTCTCTAGCCTTAACCCCATTCATCACCAAGGATTACGTTTATGCCTTGGTGCTTTTCGCTCTTCCCCTGTCGAAAGCCTCTATGCAGAAGCGAACGTTCCATCCTTATCCGATCGCCGTGATGCCCATTGCCTGCGCTACTATGTACGCTCTCATGATCTCCGCAATCCTTCCATTTATAGAATGGTCACTGATATTAGTAGACATTCTTTATTTGTTCGCCGCCCCTGCTTACTCCGTCCCTTCTCTCTTCGCCTTCATTCGCTCTTGTCTTCTCTTCAACTACCACCTTTCTATGTACATGTAGCATCTCACTTTTCCCTACCCCCCTGGGAGGTCCCAGCTGTTCGAGTCTGTTCTTTCTCCCTCCCTTGCTCGAAAGCCCAACTGTCTACGGTCGCTTCCCGCTCTCTTTTTCTTGACCACTTTCACTCTCATTCTCATGCCATTGCTGTGTACACAGATGGCTCTAAGTCTTCTGACGGCGTAGGATTCGCAGCAGTGTTTCCGGACAGCGTCGTACAAGGGCATTTACTATCTTCAGCTAGTATTTTTACTGCTGAATTATATGCCATCCTTACAGCACGTATCCGTATTGCATCTATGCCTGTGTCATCATTTGTGGGTTGTCCAGACCTCCCTTAGTGCTATTACAGCTATACAAAAATTTGGATACACCTCACTCCCCTTATCCTCCGTATCCAACTTTGGCTACCCGCATCTTTACTAAGCAATAAAGATATTGTTTTTTGTTGGGTCCCTGGTCATGTTTGACGTAACGAGTGGCAAATGAACAGGCAGACACTGCTGCGCGTCGCAGTACATGACCTACCATTTCATTTACAGAGGTATCCATGACGGACTATTTTGCTGAAATATCTTCCCACCTTCACACACCGATGGCAACACTTGGTCTACTATGTCGGCAAACAAACTTCAGTTATTAAACCGAGTATAGGTTACTGGCCGTCTTTTATACACCAGTGTCGAGGTTGGAGAACTACTCTCCTCCCGTCTTCGGCATTGGCCATACCGTCTTACCTCATGGATAGACTCATAGAGAGGCCGTCATTGCTCCTCTCTGGGAGAATTGCCAAGCTCCATTATCAGTCAGCCACATTTCAGTTGGACTGCCCACTTTAATCAACGAGCACGCAGAATTTAACCTCTGTTCGTCGTCCTTCCGCCCCGCTTGCTCTCTCTCTTTACCTTCCTTCTCTCGCGATGGACTCCACTTTCATACTCCGACTCTCTATTATTGACTTTTTTGACAACGACTGACCTTACTTCACAAATTCTGATACTTACAGCCCATTCTAACTTGTACTCTCCTTCAACCCTCTACCCCCCGTACTATCCCCTGCCCCCGCTGTATTTCTGTAACCTGCTGATCATCCCCCCTCCCCCAGGCCATCCAATTCCCTTGTTCCAACCGCTACCACCCTGCAGCGCTGGTAATAGCCCTTGTGGCTTAGCGCTTCTTTTTGATTATAATAATAATAATAATAATAAGAGGGTGGCTAATTATAACCCAATTCTTCCTACAAGGAAGGATGCCATGCACAAACTTCTGACACCCTAGGTGCCTTCCTACACATGTTGCCATGTCTTATCAATGTTGCATATAATCTTCAGTGGTCCCTTCAAGAAAACTCCAAAACCTGACTCCAGTCAACATTACCCTCCTTTTGCAAACTACACTCACCATCCACTCCAGACTTTTACATCCATCTTGGAAATGCACATACCCCAGCACTACCTAGACAAAAGTTAGCTCCACCTTTACAGGCTTCCTAATCACTTGAGCCAACTACCCTCTAGCAACTCTTTGGTGACGAACTCCTTCCTCGCACCTGACTTTCACTTCCCTACCTCCAGACACTAAGCCATAAAAGCATTTCAATGAGTATCATAAATGTACCTAGACAAGTCCTATTCCAAATAGCTGAGAATCCCATCTACTTTCCCTAACTAAATGCACAAATGCCATATAACTAATATACTGACACCAGCACCTGATTCTGGAGATAATCCCTCTTCCTGTCAATATTTTACCACTTACACTCAACTAACATTACCACGTACAAAACTGGGGATGCTAGTGAAGCTTTTGATATAAAGAACTGAACTTGCCCTCTATTTCTTTGGATTATATCTGATTACATCCCACTTCTCTAGGCACTGTATGACCCTTATGGGTTTAGCACTTCCCACTAAATATACATGTACATACAAAACTGCTCCACACTACAATTACTACTATGCCTCTTACCACTTCAAGTTTACTATCCACTAGCCCATAACCACTTACGTATACTTATTAGTAGCATTAATAATATCTGTTCCACAATGTAACAGGGCAATCTGTGAAGAGCACCAAATGTGGTTTCTCAGTTTCCGTAAATGTCTAGAAATGCATACCCCTCAAGGGAGGTTCCTTGATGCTGGAAAGTGGCTCTTGATCTAAGTAATTGAATTCCAGTTCCCTGAACTGAGCCTGAATACCTTCCATTCCTTCCCTCCAGGTGCTGTATAATCCCTATGGGTATAGCACCCCCATAATTTTTATTTTTGGTTACTAATCATTTAGGGTTTTCCTGACTAATTAGCCCTTGTGGCTTAGCGCTTCTTTTTGATTATAATAATAATAATTTCCTGACTAATGTCTCGGTAAAATAACACATTGTTGCATTACCAAATGTAGTTCACTTCATACCACAGCCTCACTTTCAAGGGAGGTTCTTTGATGTAGAGGGACTCTTGGTCCAAGGAATTTTACCTGACCTACCCTTCCTTTGATTTTAGTTTCATGCATGCATGAGTTATTTGGTTGTTGCTCAAAACAAAATTAATCTAATTTTTTTTATTTTCATACATTAGAAATTAATCATTTTAGTATTGTACTATATTTGTATAGACAAAATACAGAATATAATACACATTTATAACAATCTTTACTGCTCAAATAAAGCATTTACAGATGAATGGACAAGGGTGTATATTTAATGTATGGTCTCTCCAAATGATACACGACTGAGAAAATCACAGTACACGTATACTGTTTAGTGGAGCTTCAGGTTGCTCAGCTGTATAATCCTCCGGGTTTAGCGCTTCCCCTTGATTATAATAATAAAATTCAGGTTGCTCATCAGCACTATATAGCCCTTCTGGGTTTAGTGCTTAGTTGTATTATTAAGGTTGCTCAATTACAGTGTCATGTGGCAGCCTGAGAAGCAGTATGTATTAGTATCACCATGTATCAGTATCACCTGTGCAGGAGTTGTCCCAGGTAACAATTAAGGATGATGATGTACAGAAACATCAAGGAATTTGCATGACAAGAATTAGACACCTGCGTGTCTTCACTTAACCATCACTTACTATTTGCACTCTGCTACACAACTGCTTTTTCAGTCTTGATTTGAAAAATCAAGGTCCATGGATCAAAACAGTCAATGAAGCGGCAAATGTGTAAACTTTTGTCCTTTCATCTGTATTGCTGGTATGTATGTATACTTTCTTTCATAAACATTTGCATAGCTGATACTTTCACTAAGACTTATTTTTAATTTTCAATACTGCACAGTATTATAAATTATTTTTTACTAAAAATATACAGCCAATGGATATTTTTCACCCAGATTCCATACAAATAAACTGCCTATAAATACGTATATAGAATATCTCCAGCTATATTTTGGCTACTGCTTCATACATACGGAAAGATTAAAATGGATTAATAAAAAATTTGTGAAAAGATAACTGTACTTACTTTTTGGGGGAAGGGGGGGGGGAGATGGGTAATTGTGCTGAAATTAAAAAAAATGATACATTGCACAATCCAAAAGTTGGCATCTCAAATTTTTGCAACTATAATGTAGCTTAACAATTACATCTTAGAATAGTTGTCACTACTGCTGAAGTGTGAATAATTAGTGAAATAGGAAACTTTGCATTTGCAATCCAAAAGAAATGTCATAGAGAGCAACTTTTCCAAAGAATGTGTAGAGCTGATTGTTGTGCTTTCATTATTAATAAAAAGTCACTTTCAGGACTAAACAACAATGGTGCATCAAAAATTTATATTTCAAAAGATTACAAATTTGCACCATCTGTATATTCCATTTTTGCTAATGTTGTAAGGTAATGATCAGCATCATGCAGTGCTGTATGACCCTTGTGGGTTTAGCACTCAGTTTTAACTAATTATATCATGAACAAACCATACCACGGGTGGGGCTTGAACCCGCAGTCAGCGAGTCTTAAAACTCCAGAATTGACATGTTATCTACTGGGCCAGCTGGCCCAGTAGATGATGCAAGGGTGGGCAAACTGCAGCCAGCATGTGGCCCACCAAAGGTTTTTATGTGGCCTGCCAAGATCAAGTCATATACTCATGTATATGTGGCTGAACGAGCAAAACTTTGTTCATTTTCCTCTTGAAAACACGAGCTGTTAAACAAGCATTATCAGACAAGTACAGTTCCCAGTTGATGGCTATAGAAGTTTGCCCACCCCTGGGATAACACATTGGTCTGGAGTTTTATGACTCTCTGACAGCGGGTTCAAGCCCCACCCACGGTATGTTTTGTTTGAATCATGTCACTATGATTTCAGGAGTCAATATAATATGCAATCATCCAGAAAACTCAGATTTGTGGCATACTGCTGTGTCCTTTTTCCAATCCAAATTTAGTGATGTGCAGATTTAAAGACTTTATACCATTTCAACGTATGAGTTGTATTATTCAATCTCCTATACAATGAATGACCTTGGAAAATAAACTTTTTAATTTAAAAATTTACGTTCTAGTTGATTACCATACACTGCTATAACTGCAATAAAGAATATTGAAATTTAAAATATGAAAATACACTGCAAGAGAAAAACTTCATAAAAGTCTGAAGATTCAATATAGTTTGTGGGGCAACTGTGTAAATCTGGCCAAAGTACATTAACTATAACAATTTGCTACAAGAACGAAAAACACATTGAAAGCAGCAGCCCATGTACCCTGAGATCTATGCATAATGGCCTATCAGCCAAAAGAACTAAATCACAAGCCTTGCAAAGTAAATTTAAGACACCTCTCCTTTCTCTCTTAAATCAAGAGCCCTTTATGCTGGTCAAGGGCTCTTGATTCAAGGAATTGGAGATAGTATTCTCCCCTTACTCAGATCAAACTCAATTACAGTGCCTCCCACTCCATGTGCTTTACTAATGTATAAAATTTAGGGCACATCTGAACATCACAGAGTTTATAGTTTCTTAACCTACACTTAAAACAACCATATGAAATCAGACCCCAAATCTGTAAAATGCCAACATTTTAATAGTCTCTCATACATTTCTACTGTACCATCTAGATCTAAAAATTCTGATCTGTTAGAAAACTACCACAAAATTCTAATCGGCAAGATTGCGAAATTTATATCGGAAAATTTTGTTACGAAAATTTGACCATACAAAATGAATCTACATCAAATGTATACTGTACAATGTACTACAAGTACAGTATATGGCAATCAATTATGCTGTGCAAATTTAAAAATGCATTAGACATAAATTATGGTAATAGATTAGAGTTCACTTACAAACTATATTTGAACTCTTGACTGCCTGGAAAGCAGAAGAAATACTTTTAACACTTCAAACATTACATAAAGTATCAAAAACTTTTCACACATCCCGTATTTGAAACTTTTCACAATAAGCGAGCATACACGAAAATAGCACGACAGATTATTCACTATTAAATCAGAGATAATACTATTGATCTTTGCTTAAAACTATTCATACTAAATTTCTTAAACTCTTCAAACAATTAAATTTCGAAATCTATGAAGGTTTTATTCTCTCTAAATAATTCAGCAATTTCTATAAAAAAAAAATTAAAGAGTTTAAATGCTTTTTGTATAGTGTTGGTAATAATTTAAATTAAGAAAAATAGTACAGTAGCTATATTTGAAAAATTTCAATACATAAGAACACCATACATACAGTGCCATGGAACTAACACTGGTACTAATTCCTCAGTCATCTGGGTATAGCTACTGTTATATATAAGAGTTATCATATCCAGATTACTATTATTATATACCACAGCAGTTATACCCAGATGACTTGTTTACTGTATATAAACTACATGTGATTCAGCACCATGTCTAATATTTTCATAAATATCAGCATTATAATTTACAAGCCGGTTATTTCATATCTTAGTAAGATACTTAATTATCCCCAAAAATTATCAAAAAATTCCCTTGAAAACAAAATGAATTCAGCAGCGCTGAAGAAATATTGTTGGATTACTTTTGTATCTTTAAATCTTGGGCTTTATTGAAGTCGTTCATTCCAAATATTTGCCATTAGTTCTTCCATAAAATATTGTGGACAATCATGGGCTACAGCAGTGGCATCGCTCAACACAAGCAAATGCACAGAGTAAACACTGGAATTAATGGACTTGAGAAACAAAAGACAAAGTCCATTGGGTCAATTCTATTCAAAACACTATATGTACGTGACACATGAAAGGTCCCACAACACTGTATGCAGCCAGTACCTGATCAAGCGTTTAATGAAACCTCGAAAAGGTCTAAAGACTTGCAACAAAAAATGAACAAAGTTTGTTCCAGAACTGTCCGTTATTGTGATCATAAAATCTCGTCTGTATCCACCACAACCTTCATTATCAGCCATACACACCTTCCTATTTGTTAAATCAAGGCAATTTAACATTGGAAAATGTCATTTGATTGGAGACTCACTTGTCCTCTTTCGGGAGGAAGTAATTCGTTCGAGCAGGAGATATTCAAAGCTTCATTTTACCCCATTTCCACATACTGTACCTATAATCTTACTCTGCAAAATATATCATATACATGTACTAGAGAGTCAAATCAAGCACAGTCTCAAGCTAGAGAAAAACCTTAGTCAAAACAATTTAAACTGCATCTGATAATTCTGACATTGGGCAAATTAAGGGGTTGTAAAATCATTTACCCTGACGGTGACTCCTTTTGGGACAGGAGAGTTTAGTGTTAATTTTCAAAAATAATTTTGTCAACCATTTCTACATACAAATGATTATAATTTGCAATTCATCTCATGTCTATGTGAAGGAGCCATGAAGAGCCTCAATTCTGAACAAAAAAGTCAAGTCTCGAAAACTCCAAGCTAAGGCTCAGATCAGAAACGCTATTTCCAGGGTTACCTAAACACAGCAGCACTATGTAGTTTAACTTTGGAGAAGCCAATTGATAATTTTTATAACCAGGACTACAGCTGGAAATGAGTGTCAGAATGGCAATGAATTTGAAAACTTGATAGATGTAAACTCCAATTTGGTATAAACCTTGGTGATAGATAATGACAAATTGCTTAAAAAAAAAATAAGAGACTTGAGCAAATACTACAGAACGTTAGAAGTGACCAAGGCCCCAGGACTGAAATGTTTTATAATAAGAATGTCCCAGTGTTTGACACCTGTCTTTAAACCAACACCAATTTACTGTTAAAGCACAGAATAACTAAACCCCCCTTTTTTTTTTTACGTCTACTTTAGGGAATTAATCCTGAACCAGTGTTGTATTTGCAAGTCATAGATGCAACTTATTAAGTAAACCCTGAACATAGAAATTACATTGTGTGAACTTAAATTTAAGGCATTTATTTTCTATTGTCTAGAAGATGGATATGCAAAAAAAAAAAAAATTCAATTAAGGATAAGGTTATATCTAAAGAACTTTAATAATGCATTTTAAATTTAACTAAGCACTGAAATAGGGTGATAATTGATTATTGATTGATCACTTCACAGTTTCCCAGAAAAATGCCCAAAGCTAGCAGTTTACCATGTCAAATCAAGCTAATGAATAAGACAATATTTCAAACTCATGCCAGAATCTTACCTACTACCTTAAGCTTCAGATTTTGAGCACCAGGCCTAAAAATTGCTGATTTTATAAACCTATCAGTTTCGTTTGCAATGCAATTAAGAGAACTGCAGAGCACAACCATCAATGTTCTAGGTAAAATGATGCATTTCCTTCTAGAACTAATGATGAGTGAATACCAGTAGCGTACCACAGCGATGTATAGTACAGTTTCCCATGGCTTGAGCAGTCTCAAGAGGTCTTATCACAGTATAAAGAAGTGAGCAATGTCAGACAGCCTTTACCTGAAAAAAAAAAAAATAGAAATAACTTTATAAACACACATATTATGATCTAACAAATTAACAAGCTTAGGCACAGATAACTTTCATAAAAGATAAATACATTTATATATTCAAAGTATTTATTCCAGGCTGAATGTGCTGATAAATGTACAGTAGTGAACAAGTATTTTAGCAGCTGTGGTCTGTCCCAGGTTTATTTATTTTTTTCTTTAAGGAAACTCAGCCCTGCTGGAAGTGATTTAACAAAATTATTGTAATTTAAACTTGTACCCTTTAGAAAATACTACATTGCACAAGTGTTAATACGATTGTAGCCTCAGCTAAGATAGAAACAGATGGTGGTAGGAGTGGCAGCACTAAGTCTGGGAATATCCTGACTAAGGAAGAGTGATGATGCACTGGCAATTTACCCCAAATACTTTGTAAATAAATTCTGGTAATCTGGTACAAAAACTCCAAGCCAAATAAGTGCATTAATAAGATGGCTAAATGAAGCAAAAAACAGCATGATTATATATATTCATGAGGAATGTGCCAAACCCATAGATCATCCAGCACACGTGGAATGGGAGGTAATCAAGTAATATGCAAGGAAGAGAACAAATACATTTCAATGGATTAAAATCCCTCAAGGAATCTTTCTTGAGGAGACTGCATAATAAAACAGTACTGTACCTTAAATAGAGGATACACTGATATTTTTTTTTATAAACTAACTCTGCAGGACAGATCTGCCATAAAGATACTCATTTCTTATTATTCAACTTTATTGTATATCTTAGATTTAATGATACTAGGAGACTCACCCAAAGACCTCTTGGCTGGCATAGGTTACATAAAGGAAACCATCATCATCGTGACATTCCCTGTACACCTCCGAGAGCGGCCGAGATAGTGACACCAAGGATCGATTATTCACCAGCAGGTAGAAGGTCATTGTACTCTGAAGCTGCATCCGGTTCCTGAAGCAAGAACAACCTAAAGAATAAAAAGGCACAATACCGTGACTGGAACAATGCACAAGTGTCAAGCATCAGAATAATGGGTTTTTCCAGTAGGCCTACTAGCCAATGCTAGACAGGTCCTATTCACCACAGTAGGCCTACTGGTGCATGCTAGATGGATCCTACTCGTTATGTTGAACCTGTTTTTAATGCTGCCTCCCCCCCCAACCCCCAAAAGGTGCCTTGATGCCCATAAAGAACTCAAGTAATGGAATTTGAACTACCCTCTCCTTTTTTCCTTGGATCAAATCCTATTACCTCCTACTTCCCCATTATAATAAAAGTTTTGCTTAAAACAAATAAAGTATGGTGAGGTTTACAGAATATACTCTTAAAAATGTTAGATAATGAAAATTTTTGTTGGTAGGATCCGACTTATAGGCAAGTAGGCCTCTTCTAGCCAGTGCCTGGCTGTACTAGTCTTATCAGTGCATATTACTGGCCCTCAGTTTATTGTGCCTTTGTTGTAAAATGAATTTAAATAAAATGATTAGTTAAAAGTCAAAATGTTTATTTTCTTAACATTATGCAAATGTTGTCAGAGCACTGAGATGTACTCGAGGACCTGGTTTGTTAGTGCTTTCTAACCTCCCTTCCCCTACCCTACCCTACCCTACCCGGGCACCAGTGAATACCCTGACATCACTGATTCCTTCTTCCCTTGTATGCCCTCCCCTCCCCCTACCTCTCCCAGAAACCAACCCCTTCTTGTCTGCTCCCCTCTCCCATAATCCCTCCCCTTGCTTGTTCCCTCCTGCACAATACCCCCTTGCTTCCCCCCCCTCCTGCACAATTCCTCCCCCATTGCTTGCTCCCTCCTGCACAATCCCTCCCCTTGCTTCCCCTCCCCCCTCCTGCACAATCCCTCCCTTGCTTTCCCTCCCCCCTTCTGCACAATCCCTCCCCTTGCTTCCCCTCCCCCCTCCTGCACAATCCCTCCCCTTGCTTCCCCTCCCCCCTCCTGCACAATCCCTCCCATTGCTTCCCCTCCCCCCTCCTGCACAATCCCTCCTCTTGCTTCCCCTCCCCCCTCCTGCACAATCCCTCCTCTTGCTTCTCCTCCCCCCTCTTGCACAATCCCTCCCTTTGCTTCCCCTCCCCCCTCCTGCACAATCCCTCCCCTTGCTTCCCCTCCCCCCTCCTGCACAATCCCTCCCCTTGCTTCCCCTCCCACCTCCTGCACAATCCCTCCCCTCTCCTCTCCTGCACAATCCCTCCCCTTGCTTCCCCTCCCCCCTCCTGCACAATCCCTCCCATTGCTTCCCCTCCCTCTCCTGCACAATCCCTCCCCTTGCTTCCCCTCCCCCCTCCTGCACAATCCCTCCCCTTGCTTCCCCTCCCCCCTCCTGCACAATCCCTCCCCTTGCTTCCCTCCCCCCTCCTGCACAATCCCTCCCCTTGCTTCCCCTCCCCCTCCTGCACAATCCCTCCCCTTGCTTCCCCTCCCCCCTCCTGCACAATCCCTCCCCTTGCTTCCCCTCCCCCCTCCTGCACAATCCCTCCCTTGCTTCCCCTCCCCCCTCCTGCACAATCCCTCCCCTTGCTTCCCCTCCCCCCTCCTGCACAATCCCTCCCCTTGCTTCCCCTCCCCCCTCCTGCACAATCCCTCCCTTGCTTCCCCTCCCCCCTCCTGCACAATCCCTCCCCTTGCTTCCCCTCCCCCCTCCTGCACAATCCTTCCCCTTGCTTCCCCTCCCCCCTTGCACAATCCTTCCTCTTGCTTCCCCTCCCCCCTCCTGCACACTCCCTCCCCTTGCTTCCCCTCCCCTCCTGCACAATCCCTCCCCTTGCTTCCCCTCCCCCCTCCTGCACAATCCCTCCCCTTGCTTCCCCTCCCCACTCCTGCACAATCCCTCCCCTTGCTTCCCCTCCCCCCTCCTGCACAATCCCTCCCCTTGCTTCCCCTCCCCACTCCTGCACAATCCCTCCCCTTTCTTCCCCTCCCCCCTCCTGCACAATCCCTCCTCTTGCTTCCCCTCATCCCTCCTGCACACTCCCTCCCCTTGCTTCCCCTCCCCTCCTCCTGCACAATTCCTCCCCCTTTGCTTGCTCCCTCTTGCACAATCCCTCCCCTTGCTTCCCCTCCCCCCTCCTGCACAATCCCTCCCCCTGCTTCCCCTCCCTCCTCCTGCACAATCCCTCCTCTTGCTTCCCCTCCCCTCCTGCACAATTCCTCCCCCTCTGCTTGCTCCCTCCTGCACAATCCCTCCCCTTGCTTCCCCTCCCCCCTCCTCTGCACAATCCCTCCCCTTGCTTCCCCTCCCCCCTCCTGCACAATCCCTCCCCTTGCTTTCCCTCCCCCCTCCTGCACAATCCCTCCTCTTGCTTCCCCTCATCCCTCCTGCACACTCCCTCCCCTTGCTTCCCCTCCCCTCCTCCTGCACAATTCCTCCCCCTTTGCTCGCTCCCTCTTGCACAATCCCTCCCCTTGCTTCCCCTCCCCCCTCCTGAACAATCCCTCCCCTTGCTTCCCCTCCCCCCTCCTGCACAATCCCTCCCCTTGCTTCCTCTCCCCCCTCCTGCACAATCCCTCCCCTTGCTTCCCCTCCCCCCTCCTGCACAATCCCTCCCCTTGCTTCCCCTCCCCTCCTGCACAATCCCTCCCCTTGCTTCCCCTCCCCTCCTGCACAATCCCTCCCCTTGCTTCCCCTCCCCTCCTGCACAATACCTCCACTTGCTTCCCCTCCCCCCTCCTGCACAATCCCTCCACTTGCTTCCCCTCCCCTCCTCCTGCACAATCCCTCCACTTTCAAATTCAAATTCAAAGTTTATTCTCTATAAGGATTACAATGCTGAGTTTACAGAAATTTGGTTATTGTTTGGTTTACATGTAGTAAAATTGTGATTACAGAGTGTACCACTAGAACGCTTAGCATGGCTAGGCATTTCGGGCATACTTAGTTTTATTCTTAATTGTAAAATATTACAAATTATGAGGTAAGTTGGTCTTATGGTTAAGTGACTAAATACTAGTTTATGAGTTTAGCAATGTGAATGCTTTTGTTTTGGCACAGTACATAGTTTCAGTATTGGAGTATCACAGGATTCATTATTTTAAGACTGAGATTAATATTTCTGTTTATGGTCAAATGAGTGAGTGAGTGTAAGTGTGAACCACCAGGTGGTATTCGTGTAGTTAGTTGACGGGGTGTATCAGGGAGATAAGATGTTTTCTAATGGTAGTTTTGAAGGTGATGAATGTGTCTGCAGTTCTAGAGTTCTCAGGTAGGGTATTCCAGATTTTAGGGCCTTTGACATACATTGAATTTTTGTAAAGGTTTAGTCGGACACGGGGAATGTCGTAGAGATGTTTGTGTCTAGTGTTATGCCTGTGGGTTCTGTCACAACTATCAAGAAAGCATTTTAGGTCAAGGTTGATATTAGAGTTTAAGGCCCTGTAGATATAGATTGCACAGTAGTAAGTGTGGATGTACTGAACTGGGAGTAAGTTTAGATCTTTGAAGAGTGGGGGGGTGTGCTGCCAGGGATGGGATTTAGTGATTATTCTTACTGCAGCTTTTTGTTGGGTTATTATTGGCTTTAGGTGTGTTGCTGCAGTTGATCCCCAAGCACAAATAGCATAGGTGAGGTATGGATAAATAAGTGAGTGGTATAGTGTGAGAAGGGCATTTTGCGGCACGTAGTATCGTATCTTGGAGAGGATCCCAACCGTTTTGGATACTTTTTTGGCTATATGCTGGATATGGGTGCTGAAATTTAGGTTGTTGTCAAGGTACAAGCCTAGGAATTTTCCCCCATTATTTCTGGTAATTAGAGTGTTGTCAATCTTAATGTTAATTTGTGCATCTCCTGCTCTGCTCTCCTCCCCTCCCCCTGCACAATCCCTCCCCTTGCTTCCCCTCCCCTCCTGCACAATCCCTCCCCCTTGCTTCCCCTCCCCCTCCTGCACAATCTCTCCCCTCATCCACCTCCGTATCCTCTTGCTTGGGTAAGGTGACGGACTCGCTAAGGTCACGTCCTTGGAGGACAATGCGTCACTATATACAAGTGTGTCAAGACCTTGTGTATATCAAAATTAAAAATCCCAGTGCACAGTCATTAAAAAATTAGACTAGTATAAACCAGTGTAAACTAACATAATGTAAACCACCATGAATATGCGAGTGGCAGATAAAATGTCTTCATTTAGTTTCATCATCCATTTAATTGATGGCCACAAAATAGCTTGGTAAATGGACACAGATACAGCTAATGCAACAGTTTATTGTGCCAACGTTGCGCTCTCATCAACCTATGTCTAATCTTAAAAGCAGTCTGTAAGCATAAAGATTAAACTGCCTGAAATGCACAGGCATGCTAGTGACTGTTTAACAATATTTTATTAAGTGTAAACTACACTTTGTATACTAAAATAATGAGTTGTTTATCGCTTTTGTTTGTCAAGTTGTTACTTTGACAAAGCTTCTGGAGAGTGAAATATTGCCACAATAATATGACATCTGTGGGCATTTGGGTCCAGTTCCTGGACCCATTATGTACCTCTGTAATGTTTTTGATTACCGCCCATAGGATGGGTATGGGGTGCATAATAAAGATATTAGACTGTGTCCACCTATCTAACATTTTGTCAGTAATTCTACCATTATTATTATTACAAGATAGATGTTTAAACATTAATTACTGGACCAACATCACTTCAGGATCTTCAGCTGACAAAATAAATGCCCTTCCCTGGAAAACACAATTTTCACTTTACCCATTGTTAATTAATTCATATTACAGCCTCATAGAATCCAAAATTTGGTAATACTAATAAAAAAAAAAACAGGCTAGGAGGCAGAAATAATACCTGCAAAAGGGAGGGGGGTGGAAACATGAAAAAAAATGACTTAGGTTTTTTTTTTAGCCTGTGAAGCTAATTTTTATAGATTCGTTAACTTACCTGAGGATGGTGACGAACTGTGACATAGTAAGTTCTTGAGGAACGAGGAACTTAGTCTTGTCTAAGATAGGCAAGTTGGTCTCCTTGGCGTACCTCTCCACAATCACCTGCAACACGAAACTCCTTTAGATATACTTAATGTCTACAAGTACATGATACAACTTATACAGACCATAGCTGACACCAGTGACATACTATATAGCAAGACTGCTTATTTCAGACAACTTAGGTTAATCTTGTCCCCAGGATGCGACCCATGCCAGTCTACTAACACCCAGGTACCTACTTACTGCTAGGTGAACAGTAACAACATGTCCCAATGTTGCCACCCATACCAAGGATCGAACCATGGACCTCAATGATCTTAACCCTAATTTTTAAAGGGGTGGATCAGTAAGCCAGTAGAAGGTCTCTGTCAGATGACCAAAAGCACCAGTTGTGGGTCATCATATGACCAAAACCCGCGTCAGGGAACATGTGCCCTGTTTCCTGACAAATCTTACCTAACCCAAGGCTTCAATGTGAGAGTTAACATGACTCACGATATAGTTTTGGAGTGGTTGGTGCAATTATTTAATAAATGTATGGAAGAGGGTAAGGTACCTAGGGATTGGCAGAGAGCATGCATAGTTCCTTTGTATAAAGGCAAAGGGGATAAAAGAGAGTGCAAAAACTATAGGGGGATAAGTCTGTTGAGTGTACCTGGTAAAGTGTATGGTAGAGTTATAATTGAAAGAATTAAGAGTAAGACGGAGAATAGGATAGCAGATGAACAAGGAGGCTTTAGGAAAGGTAGGGGGTGTGTGGACCAGGTGTTTACAGTGAAACATATAAGTGAGCAGTATTTAGATAAGGCTAAAGAGGTCTTTGTGGCATTTATGGATTTGGAAAAGGCGTATGACAGGGTGGATAGGGGGGCAATGTGGCAGATGTTGCAAGTGTATGGTGTAGGAGGTAGGTTACTGAAAGCAGTGAAGAGTTTTTACGAGGATAGTGAGGCTCAAGTTAGAGTATGTAGGAAAGAGGGAAATTTTTTCCCAGTAAAAGTAGGCCTTAGACAAGGATGTGTGATGTCACCGTGGTTGTTTAATATATTTATAGATGGGGTTGTAAGAGAAGTAAATGCGAGGGTCTTGGCAAGAGGCGTGGAGTTAAAAGATAAAGAATCACACACAAAGTGGGAGTTGTCACAGCTGCTCTTTGCTGATGACACTGTGCTCTTGGGAGATTCTGAAGAGAAGTTGCAGAGATTGGTGGATGAATTTGGTAGGGTGTGCAAAAGAAGAAAATTAAAGGTGAATACAGGAAAGAGTAAGGTTATGAGGATAACAAAAAGATTAGGTGATGAAAGATTGAATATCAGATTGGAAGGAGAGAGTATGGAGGAGGTGAACGTATTCAGATATTTGGGAGTGGACGTGTCAGCGGATGGGTCTATGAAAGATGAGGTGAATCATAGAATTGATGAGGGAAAAAGAGTGAGTGGTGCACTTAGGAGTCTGTGGAGACAAAGAACTTTGTCCTTGGAGGCAAAGAGGGGAATGTATGAGAGTATAGTTTTACCAACGCTCTTATATGGGTGTGAAGCGTGGGTGATGAATGTTGCAGCGAGGAGAAGGCTGGAGGCAGTGGAGATGTCATGTCTGAGGGCAATGTGTGGTGTGAATATAATGCAGAGAATTCGTAGTTTGGAAGTTAGGAGGAGGTGCGGGATTACCAAAACTGTTGTCCAGAGGGCTGAGGAAGGGTTGTTGAGGTGGTTCGGACATGTAGAGAGAATGGAGCGAAACAGAATGACTTCAAGAGTGTATCAGTCTGTAGTGGAAGGAAGGCGGGGTAGGGGTCGGCCTAGGAAGGGTTGGAGGGAGGGGGTAAAGGAGGTTTTGTGTGCGAGGGGCTTGGACTTCCAGCAGGCATGCGTGAGCGTGTTTGATAGGAGTGAATGGAGACAAATGGTTTTTAATACTTGACGTGCTGTTGGAGTGTGAGCAAAGTAACATTTATGAAGGGATTCAGGGAAACCGGCAGGCCGGACTTGAGTCCTGGAGATGGGAAGTACAGTGCCTGCACTCTGAAGGAGGGGTGTTAATGTTGCAGTTTAAAAACTGTAGTGTAAAGCACCCTTCTGGCAAGACAGTGATGGAGTGAATGATGGTTTAAGTTTTTCTTTTTCGGGCCACCCTGCCTTGGTGGGAATCGGCCGGTGTGATAATAAATAATAAAAAAGATTGGAAATAAACCATACCACGGGTGGGATAGAACCCGCGGTCAGAGAGTCTCAAAACTCCAGACAGTCGCGTTAGCCACTGGACCAGCTAGCCACAATAAGATTCGTCCAACTAGGTTATTTCTACACCATATGAAGGTTAGCATAGGCTCCACTGTGACCACAAACGTGACGGTCTGGGGTTTTGAGACACTCTGACCGCGGGTTCTATTCCCATCCCAACCCAGCTACGGGTCACCTGCCTTCTTTTCCACGTTTTTCAATTAAGTGGTTTGTCACTTTTATACCACCATTAATACTTGAAGAATTAAAGTCAATACCATGACTGGGACAGTTCACAACTGTCCCAGTCTATTATCAAGTACCAAGAGACTTTAAAAAGGTCCAGGAAGACACCGAAACAGTCTAGTTCTATCTTCAATTTGTGGATCAATTGTAAACACTGCCTTATTAAGAACAAATATTTTGCAAATACTAAAGCCATTTTTATCCCATGTTAAATTCCCAGATACTTTTACAGACTATTTTCAAAATATTTACATAAAGTACAGTCTGTGAGGCGCACAATGGTGATTATTAGGATGATTTTATCCATGAAAAAAAAAATCCAAGTACCCTAACTTCGCGGTATATAAATAACTCATTACCAGCGAAATTTTCATAGATAAAACACGGCTGAGGATCAGCTCCTGGACCCTTCGTGTTTTTTTTTTTTTGTTGGTGGATTACATAGTATGTGATGGCGATTAAAATTTACTCTGCCACTACATTTAAAAAGTAACATCCTTGGCTTTTTTTTTTAAGGTCAGAGTTAGGCACTGTATAAGCCTGCGGGGCCAGGAGCTGCGTATCGACCCCTGCAACCACAATTAGGAGAGTACAAACATACACACACTACTCGCTACATTTAGCAACTTTTGCAAAAAATTTCGCTCGTCAGGATTTTTTCATGTCCCTGGTTAGCGAAATTTGTCCTAAGTTGCTTAAAAGTGTACAAATGTCTAAATTATACAGCTGTCGATATTAAATTTATATTCGGTGTACCACACCTGTGTTATAAAATCATTACTCACATCTGTCCTTGAATTAAAGTGCTTTATGGGTAATTTGAATTTCGTTTTTTTACCAGCTAGCTCCATGTGCAGCAGGACTATTAAACCACAAGACGGGCAGCTAATAGCAGTTTCACTCCATGGGTCAGTAGGCCTACAGTGCTCTGGTTATGCGTTTATGCCTTGATTATATAGATAAATGGTTCATAGAACCGATAAGTTGGATAAGTTAGACATGTGCAACACTTGGGTATCTTTGAGGAAACATTTCACCACACAGTGACTTCATCAGTCCATACAAAGGAGAATGGGGAAGAACAGGAGGAGTTTGAGGAGATCAGTCCCTCAGCCTTGATTAAAATGTTCCGAAACGTTGATCAACGCCATGTAGTTCTGACGGAAGTCTTGAGACTGGAAAATATACCTGGGATTGGATATTTATCTAAATTATTTTAGTCGTTCCATCAATGTGTCAATTTTCAATTCGCAATTTGAGAAAAAATAATCTACAAAGAGGTACAAAGTGTGTATGTGTGCTTGTACTCGCCTAATTATGGTTGCAGGGGTCGAGTCACAGCTCCTGGCCCCTTGTGTGTACACTCGCCTAATTGTGGTTGCAGGAGTCTAGTCACATCTCCTGGCCCCGTGTGTGTGCGTGTGTGTCCACTCGCCTAATTGTGGTTGCAGGGGTAGAGACTCAGCTCCTGGGCCCCGCCTCTTCACTGGTCGCTACTGTGTGACCCCCCCCTCCACCTCTCCCCAACAAGTCCAACATTAAAGTGTGCACGGGTTCAGTAGCACGTACACGGTGTCCTCGTGTGTACACCCAAGTATCATGTACACGCTCAGGCTGCCAGGGCCAACACAGCCAGTGCCAGGGGGGGGGGACATTTTAATATTGACCTACTAGACTTCCCCTCATCAATTTCTAACATTTCCCGTGTAATCCAGTTCAAAATAACCCTTACATAGGGGAGGCTCTTACAACGTTTCGGTCCCACCTGGACTATTTACGGTCATATTAACACAGGAGTGAGGGAACCAATATTAATAAATAATAATAATGTACCATGATTATTTATTACGGAACATCAAAGCCTGAATAAGTTTGTCTCTAAGTAAAAGATTAACTTCTGACAGGGATTTTATATAAAATAATTCGTAAAAATTAACCCAGGAGCTTTGTCAAAGATCCTGGAGTATTAGTATAACAAATTAGTTGTTTAAAATAAGCCACTTCTGTTAAAATATTATCTGTTCACCTATTTGTGGTTGCAAGGTCTAGTCTCAGCTCCTGGCCCCCCATCTCTCAACTTGCCACTTTCTCGTGCCTACTCAAACTACATACGGTGTCTGCCTGTACTTTGCTGAAGTTATTTCCACTTCCTGGCCACTTAAGACTGAAGAAATACTTCCTAAAATCCCTCTGGCTCATCCGTGTCTAACCTCCAGCTGTGTCAGCCTTAATTTCTTGCCTCACAATTTGTTGTACATGAATGGTATATAATGCCAACAAGATTAAGAATTAGACATGTCAAACATCTGGATATTATTTGTAGACGTTTTGCCATCCAGTGGTTTTTATCAGTACAACACAAGGACATAATGTGACGTATACACAAGACTACGGTGCTCTGCCTTGGAGTGAAGAGCACCGTAGTCTTGTGTATAGTTCTACATTATTCACACCATATCTTTGTACTGATAAAGCCACTGGATGACGAAACCTCTACAAATATAGATACCCAGATGTTGCATATGTCTAATTCTCCAATCTGTCTGTACAATGTCTGCCCTCTAGTATTTTGTTATGTTGTTTTCCCTGGCTCTTCTGTTCTCCAATTAATTTTTGCCTCTCATCTTAGCTTATATTCGTTAGCTCTGGCAGAAGCCTCGCTGCCTACTACACTCCAGTTCCTATGCTGATGCTGTAGCCTCCAAAATAGACCTGACATTGTATAAAGGACCCGAATGGCTCAGATTCTAAAGGCTACGTATAAGATCTACCAGACGAGCACTAGTTGCAGAGGTTATTCGGGATATACTCACACCTAGGTCAAGTCTGTAACCTCTGCCCAGAGTCTATACTTCGTGCCTGGTTTTCTTGCCCTATCCCCAATCTTCATGCAATTGCTAGGGTTGAATTCTGATCAGTCCTGCAGTTGCTCCATATCTATTTACATCCTCTCCTTGTCTTCACCTGTTTTTATTCTTATATTAGCAAACAAGAATATATCAGTCACTCCCATAATTTGTATTTGTCACAAACCAGAAACGGTACGGGTCCTCATACCATCCTTGTGGTACACCACTTGGATGTCACTACCGCCCGGCTCCGGCTGGGTTACAAGTATCTTTGGCAGGTTAAATCACCACCACCAGATGTAGACCAAACGAAATGTAAACTTTGCCAGATGGATTATTGTCACACCCTGCGTCATTATGTACTGGAGTGTGATAAAATTAATGAATTTAGAAACAACTCACTCAGAAGTGTTCAAGAAATGGCTAAGTATTTTATCCACAGTGGTATATTACAGACCATTCTGGAGAAATACCCTGACTTTGCTAGCTGTAAATAAAGCATTACCACATATGTGCATGTGCATGTGCGTGTGCGTGTGTGTGTGTGTGTGTGTGTGTGTGTGTGTGTATGAGTGTGTGAGTGTGTGTGTGTGTATGAGTGTGTGTGTGTATGAGTGTGTGTGCGTGTGTGTGTATGAGTTTGTGTGTGTGTATGAGTTTGTGTGTGTGTGTGAGAGAGAGAGAGAGAGAGAGAGAGAGAGAGAGAGAGAGAGAGAGAGAGAGAGAGAGAGAGAGAGAGAGAGAGAGAGAGAGAGAGAGACTCAGCAATCAACATTTGCACCAATAACTCACTACAGTTGTGACCGGGTGTGGAAGTGTGAATTGCTCATTACTCTAAAATTTGTTCATGATTGCAGCCATGTATAAACGTAAGTAACCATTCTTACAGTATTCATTACCTTTGTAACTTGTGAGTTCATTACCTTGTACCTAGTTCAGCCATCAAAACTTTGGAGCCCGGTCCCTGGACCCATTGTGTACCTCTGTAATCTGTAAATACCTTTGTAACTTGTCATGATTGTGACTAGACCTACCTGGAGTTCATTACCTTTGTAAATTGTGAATTCATTACCTCTGTAACTTGCTCAGCTATCAAAACTTTGAGGCCCAGTCCCTGGACCAATTATGTACCTCTGTAATCTTTTGACTACCGCCCACAGGATGGGTATGGGGTGCATAATAAACATATTAAACTAAACTAACACCACTTGTTATTTTTCCCGATCACTGTTTCCTCCCAATAAAGTATTCTGTGCTAGCATCATGTTGCAAGTGTACCATCCTGTGTACGTGTGTTTGCAGTTGCACTCAGTCTGCCAACTTACTATAAACATAAGACTGGCGTGGCCAAGGTAGGATGTTTTAATCTGGGAATATACGTGTCACCGTGACATGGTTGTGGGGCAGCGTTGAGGTAGGGGAGGGGATAGGGAGGACAGGAGGGAGAGGAGAGGGAGGATAGGAGGGAGAGGAGAGGGAGGATAGGAGGGGGGAAGGATAAAAAAAAAGTGATGTGGGGGTTGGCCTACTTATCCTCCCCCCCACCTCGTCTCTCACCATTAACATAGGATTATTGCTCGTAGTTTCTTTAATATCCTGGAAAATCAACTTTCCTCAGATTTACATTATACATTTTTCTACCGTACATGGAAAAAGTCCACAGGTCTGCAATGATTTTTCGGGCATTTTTCTCCTTGGATGGTGGGGCTCCTCTCCCTTAACCCCATAAACACTACACGTACACAAAAAAATACGATCTGTACGTGTGACGTGGTACAGGTGTTCCACAAAGGCCATCTGAAAACACCTGTTATGTGTTCTTCCCACCTCCACATCCCTGAACCATTACTACCACCTAAAAATAGGTTGGACAGGTGCAGGAGCAGGTGTGCGTGTGGATGAACGTGCCTAACATGGACCAGTAGGCCTGCTACAGGTCTCCTTTCCTTTCAATTCAGCCCTCCTCTCTTCCAAGGGGTAAGCAGAGAAAATCCATGGGCTAGTAGGCCTATCCTAAATAGACGGCCTACTCACATCCCCTCCCTCTCGGAACCTTTAACCTATTTTTCGAGAGAAGGGGAAGCAAATACCACAGTTTGGTGCCATGATTATCTAAAATTCAAGGTAATTCTTTTTTACAATGAACTGATTCATCCAAATTCGCTTTCATTACCGACACTATACACAAACATGTATATGTATTATTCTACACCTAAGTGGTTGGGCCACTTACCTTCTTACCTCACCTCCCCTCCACCATCCCACCCTTTTCCTATACGTCCATCCTTACCCATCCTTCTTTCGCCATCTTACCACAGCTCTGGTCATACAAGTTGAAGTAGGCGGAGTGTGGGGTGCGAATGACCAATTTGTGGGTATCTATTTCCATGAAAAAGTTCAACCTTCCCGACAACCGCAGTGATGTTGAATAAGGTCATATCTTCTCTTTCCCACGTACTTTCTCACCCTCCCCCCTCTCTCCTACCCTCTCTTCCTCTCATCTATTCTTTATCTGCCCCCCCCCCCACAGCCGTTACACACACACACACACACACACACACACACACACACACACACACACACACACACACACACACACACACACACTGGGAAGTAAGCAAGGTTTCATTCCTACAATGTAACTAATGTAGTTGCATACTGCTGGTATTCCCTTCAATGTAAATAAAAAATTAGTGGAGCAACACTGTTTTAGGCAACTAATTTAAACAAACACTAACCTTCCCACCATAGGTATTTGTGTGTCACCAGACTATATTAGAAGTATTAACGAGTTTCGAGCACCATTTAAAGGGAGCACGAGTGAGTGTGACAACACAAACTTTAATAATGCGTATGCAATACATTATAACTCTCAAGGACATGATTAAATGGAATGAGGCCAAACTAGTAATCAAGGGAAACAATTTACAGAAGCTGCATTGTCTCGAAGCGGCCATTATAATAAACTATGGTCCAGAATTCTTGGTAATATCCCCTACCCCTCAGGTGACTTGTGTTCCAGCTGCTCTTAGTTAACCTCGCCTGACCTGTCTACTTTATATTACGTTTTCTCACGCTCTGTATAGAGTTAAAAAAAATTAAAATACACTACATATTTACTTAACAATTTTTTTGTACACCTTTGATGAGTTTCGAAAGCTTTCTATTCCCAGAGTCCGGCCCTGGGCCAGGCTTGTCTGGTGCTTTCCTGGCAACCAGGATTTTGCTGCTGGCGGCCCACTGGCTTATACATTCATCATAGCCTAGTTGATCTAGCACTTGGTGGAGTTACTTTTCCAGTTTACTCTAAGACATCTACACCTGTCCCAGCAATATTCATGATATTTTCTGGTAAAATGTTGAATAATTTGTGACAACGGATGTTGATACAATGTTCACTTACTGTGCCCACGGCGCTCTTGCTTACTTTAAAAAGTGCCCAAATCAAAGTTGAACAATTGGTGGTACATTCAGAAAAAGCCTCCCAATTCCTTCCCCTTGTATATGTGTGTGTGTGTATATATATATATTATATATATATATATATATATATATATATATATATATATATATATATATATATACTATAATATAGCCAACTGTTTATGAATAGGATTTTTGTCTAACAATTACGTATTAAAGGTCTAAATCAAGAGCCTTTACCAGTGTAATTTATTTACCTTCTTTCCCGGTCAAGAATAACAGCAACAAGCATGACCCAATATCTTCACTGAGTCAATTTACAATTTTAAGCATTATTTCCGCACTCAATGACTCAAAAGTAATAAAAAAACCGACTGGTTTTATTACCGAAGCATTTTGTCCGTAGATCAGTGTACTTTTTTCCAATATTTGAAGCACTTGTTACATCTTATTTTTTTCCACTGATCTATCACTGATAAAAATCCTAGTATCCTTTAGACCACTTTTTTTTTACCTTTCAATTCACAACTGTTGCCTCTTATCACTGTTGCAGGTACGAAGAAATCCTTTCTAATCTTTCACATCCTTGTATGAGCCTGGAATTATCATATCTCGTCTGCTATCAGCCAGCGTGGGTATCTTCAGTGCTTTCAGCCTGTCATCATAACTAATTCTGTTAAATTAGACACATGTGCAACTCTTGGGTATCTTTATTGAGGAAACGTTTCGCCACACAGTGGCTTTATCAGTCCATACACAGGATAAACTTGAACAGGAGGAGAATGAGGTAATCAGTCCCTCAACCTTGAGTCGATGTGGTCAGTCCATCAATCTTGAATCGATTCTATTCAAGATTGATGGACTGATGAAGCCACTTTGTGGCGAAACGTTTCCTCAATAAATATACCCAAAAGTTGCACACGTGTCTAATTTAACAACATGTCGGTTCTTTGAACCATTCATCTACAATAACTAATTCTCTAAGCTATTTTCTAGCATTTCTTTGAACCTTTTCTAACTTATTCCACGAGGTCTTCTCTACAAGATGTCGGCACCACTATATTCCATCTTCTAATACATTATAATTTCATCATTCCTTTATCCATTTATTTAAAAGCTAATCTTTACAATTCTCTGGAGCAGTATAATTATTTCTGAATTTCGTTTGCATCATCTTCCGACGAATAAATGATGTTAATTGTATCCATGCAATATAATTTTAATAAAGTATTTCTGTACTCACTGGGATCTTGTTAGGGAACTTGCTTCTGATATTGGCCACTTCCTGCTTCCTCGACGCTGCAAGAAAAAATAAATACATTAGTATACCATCCCCGGCTAAGCTTTGTTGCTGCAGTAATTATAAATGTGGAGAGTAACTATTAATGCAGGCATGTTCAATGCATACTAATGGCTTCCTCTGGTATCTAGCAATGTTTTATTAAATGTTAACTACATTATTTCCGTATCGCTTGAAATTATAAGAAATAAGACGGAAGAGTGAGGGGGATGGTGTGGTTGCCTGCCTTCTCGATTTTCATAGCCTCACTTGTGTATAAAGGATATATATATAAATTACCTAGGGGACTTGCATGGTACCATATGCAGAAAAATAATGGAAATTTATAACCGACAAATCTAAACAAGCAACGGGAATTATTAGAGGTTTTAAACATTTTCATTTACGAGCATTTGGTTTTTTTTTTCCACACCGATTTTTCATGGCTAAGAGCTGTTATCCTACCTCAGCTCATTTCCAAGTCCAGCCCTGTCTAGGGTATACTACTATCCCACAGGATGCCACCCACAACAGTGGACTAATACCCAAGTACCTACTTGCTGCTAAGTAAACAGGGGCAGCAGGTACAAGGAAACATGCCCAACGTGTTCACCCGTACCCGGGATCTTTTATTTTCCTGCCCAAATTGTGGGTTAGTTTTGTTTTTAGCTTACGTAATTTCATATTAAGACGACCCTTTAAAGTCACGTTTGATTTACAATTTTCTCCCTCCGTCAGGATGCAACCCACAACGTCAACCAACACCTAGGTGAACAGGTACAACAAGTATCAAGAACCTGGATCCAACTAGAGTACCGTAGACAGGAGTGAAAGACAGGTTGCAGAACAACGTTTGGTTCTGTAGAACTTTACAAATTTATGACTAAAGCTCTACAGAGTGAAACTTTCTCCACAAGTGTAAGGAGACTCCCCCTCCCCCAAGTTACGGCCTTGCCTTAAATAGAACCCGGAATATTTCTGTTTAAGCAAGTTAAGAGCATCACTCCTAGCTTTTGAAATACGCAACAGAAATAGCAGCAGAAAAAAACAGCATTAGCAACAGCAGCAACAGCAGCAGCAGCAACATGAGCAACTCAGGCTACGCCAGCCATGTCAACTTACGACCTTCAGAATCGGGAGCAGAACATTCTTCAAAGTATTATTCACAGTATACGTAAAGATCGCTCCTTTAGTATGTGGCAGTGCTCGTGCGTGTGTACACGTTCGCGTGCACGTGTACGAATGCGTGTACGTGACAGGTGTAGCGTACAAAACAAGGCTTGCGGAAATATCTTTTCTGAAGGTTGCCTGGCTGATCTGCTCCACCAGGGGGAGGAGGCATTGTACACTTAACATTCCATACAAATCTCCCACATTGCATAACGCCAACGTTTACCTTCCTTTTAACCCCCCCCCCCAAGATAGACTAATGGAGAGGGAGTTTAGAGTGTACAGGAAGTGCGCTTGTACACAGTACGTACTTTACTGGTTGCATAAGAGGATGGTATTTGTCAATTTATTTCAATCACGAACATCGAGGTGCATCCTGCACCCCCTCCACATGCTTCATATTGCACAATGTAACAGACTGGCATTGCATTAGGCTGAATTATATACAATTCACACTTAACCCAATATAGCCACAGTAAAGGCCAGTTCGAAAAGGCTTGAAGGGGGGTTAATATTTGGGTTGATTCCTACACCTGTAGCAATTATCAACTCCTACGGCGTTAATAACCCGAATAAAAGTCTTACTGGTCACCCAAGATATAGTTTATTGCCCCATATTTGTGTGTGTGTGTGTGTGTGTGTGTGTGTATGTAAAATATTTCACAGGTCAGCTGGGTAATGTTTTACACGATGAATGTAACGATGTCTTTCAGGATTAACTGACCTCGTTCCTTCAGGTCAGTTGTTTAAAGAAGTTTCACAGCCACTGGGTAGTCAATTGATAAATCTTGACCATAACTTTAAAGGTGGAAGTAAGCAGAGGAAGCTCGTTTCAAGATTCAAAGCTCAAGCGTCGTTCCTGCAAGACCACATCTTAAAAACTCAGTTTCCGACAACCTACCTAAAAGACATAGTGAGCCATTGTGAATATGGATGTCTCAATCATACTTTTGGGTCTCTGGGAGTCCATTCATCGTCCTGTATGAGGACGGCATTTTCTGATCTCAGTAAGCCCGTGGCCTGTTTCCAGTGGGAAAGAAGCAAAGCGATGCAGAAGAATATGTAACATGTGGATAGGACCATTAGTGGACGTAGGCAAAGCTCTCAAGGCGAGCAATGGTTTAATAGTAAAATATACAACTCCATTACTTTACCAGCATATTTTTTTTTTCATACTTCGTGCAACCGGACAAACTAACTATACGAGAGCAGCAACGTGCGGTTTTTGCAAACAAAACGGGTGATACAAAGGGGACTACCAACTCAGCCTGTGGCTAAGCTTACCTGTTAAGTGCCTATTTAGTCAAGTTGTTGGAATTAGCGGCCCACAACCATCTCAGGCTGTTTCATCAGGCACTCTTAGGAGGTAGTAATCCAGACTTCAACCCCACACACCACACACACACAACACACACACACACACACACACACACACACACACACACACACACACACACACAGAGAGAGAGAGAGAGAGAGAGATTGAGAGAGAGAGAGAGAGATTGAGAGAGAGAGATTGAGAGAGAGATGAGAGAGTTGAGAGAGAGATTGAGAGAGAGAGATTGAGAGAGAGATTAGAGAGATATGAGAGAGAAGAGATTGAGAGAGAGAGAGAGAGATGAGAAGAATGAAGAGAGAGATTATGAGAGAGAGAGAGAGAGAGAGAGAGATTGAGAGAGAGAGATTAGAGAGATTGAGAGAGAGAGATTGAGAGAGAGAGAGATGAGAGAGAGATTTGAGAGAGAGAGAGATTGAGAGATGAGAGAGAGAGAGAGAGAGATTGAGAGAGAGAGAGAGAGATTGAGAGAGAGAGAGAGAGAGATTGAGAGAGATTGAGAGGGGATTGAGAGAGAGATTGAGAGAGAGAGAGAGAGATTGGGGAGAGAGAGAGTTTTGGAGAGAGAGAGATTGAGGAGAGAGATTGAGAGAGAGAAAATTGAAAAGAGAAAAGAAAAAATTGAGAGAGAGAAAAAAATTGAGAGAGAGAGAGAGAGATTGAGGGGAAAGAGAAAAGAGAGAAAAGGGGAAAAGAGGGGAAAAGAAAAGAGAGGGGAAGAGAGAGAAGAGAGAGAGAAAAGAGAGAAGAGAGATGAGGGGAAAAGAAAAGGGAGAGAGAGGAAGAGAGAGAGGGGGAGAAAAGAGAGAAAAAAGAGAAAAGAGATGAGAGAGATAAAAGAAAAGAGAAAAGAGAAAAGAGAGATGAGAGAGAAGAGAGAAGGAGGAAGAGAGAGAGAGGAGAGAGAAAAGAAGAGAGAAGAGAGAGAGAGAAAAGGAGAGAGATGAGGAAGAGAGAAGAGAGAGGATGGAAGAAGAGAGAGAGAAGAGAGAGATAGAAAAAGGGAAAAGAGAGGAAAGAGAAAAGGAAAAGAGAAAGAAGAGAGAAAAGGGAGGAGAGAAGAGAGAGAAGAGAAAGAGAGAGAGAGAGAGGAGAGAGGAAAAGAGAGAGAAGAGAGAAAGAAGAGAGTTTGGGAATTTTAAAAGGGGAAAAGGTTGAATTTTTAATCGGAACCCCCAGTTTAAAAATTTTGGAAAATTTTTAAAGATTGGGGTTAAATGGGACGAATTAAAGGTTAATTTTGGTTTGGGGTTTTTTTTTGGGTGGGCCCCCCGGGCGGGGCCGGGCAAAGCGGGGGGAAAAAATTTTTCCCTCCCTCCCAAACCGGGGGCCCCGGGCCCCCACCGGGCCCCCAAAAAACAACAGCCCCCCTTGGGCTCAGGGGGCCCCCCCGGGCGGGCTGGCGGCACCCGGGGGGGCCCCCTAGCCCGGACGGGGCCCAACCGCCTGGGGCGGGCCCCCTGGGGCCCAACTTTCTCCCCTCGCCCCCCCCGGCCCTGCCCCGCCGGGCATTCGCCCCCAGCGCGCCATCTCCCTCTCGCCTCGGGCCCGCTCGGACCGCCCAGTCGCACCACCCCGGCCGCCCAGCGCTCCCGCTGCCCCCGCTCCTCTGCCCAACTCGCTACCAAAATTGCAGCCACCCCACCCCTTCGCCCTCCTCCCCGACAGCGCCCGCACCGCCGACCCTCTCCCGGCCCAGACTACAGAGCCGAGAGCAGATAAGAGACCGAACCCTTTCAGCGAGGAAACCGACAGAGGAAAGAGATAGAGACAGAGACAGAGACAGAGAGCCAGAGCGGAGACGGGGACTGCCCGCTGACAAGACGAGACAGAGAGATCTAGACTGGAGGAAAAGGGCAGAGACTGAGAGATGACGGGAAAACCCATGAGAAGAGGACGAGAGACTGACTGGCTGAGACCGATGACCGAGACTGAAACAGAGACAGAAGACAGAGAGAAGAGAGTAAGAGTGAGAGGAAATGAAGTTTTGCGAGTAGTTTCACTGTTAGGGACAAGCATGTACCAGTAAATGTTTAAATCCCTTTATAATATTTACGCACCCTGTAGCCCCCCCCCCCCAACATCCGGACAAATCATGATCTTGCCCCAGAAAGTACATCCACCTGCTCACCCTTAGACTATGAGAACACATACTTACACAATTTTTCCAGCTCTAATATTTCTCCTGCCTAAAGTAGAGCTCTGAGTAGAGCAGACAGAGCCAGATTTATTTAAGTGGTACCACAGCGTGGTTATTCTCTCGTTTTGAAAGGTCTCATTATCCACCCTGTGTTTTCTGTGTTCCAGTAGGTCAACTGGGCAATAAGATAAGATAAGATTTTGTTCGGATTTTTAACCCCGGAGGGTTAGCCACCCAGGATAACCCAAGAAAGTCAGTGCGTCATCGAGGACTGTCTAACTTATTTCCATTGGGGTCCTTAATCTTGTCCCCCAGGATGCGACCCACACCAGTCGACTAACACCCAGGTACCTATTTGCTGCTAGGTGAACAGG